GTGTGTGTTCTAAGGTGAATACTGTATATGTCACAATTCTACCAATGTTTTCATTTTCTTGCTTCCTTTCAATATGAAAATTACTCTATGTGAATTGGCTTTTGGTGAACTGAATTTTAGTGGCTTGATTTTTTTTACCTTGGCTTTTTCTGACCATGAAGAATTCTAATTAGCTGTCATCTCTTTACAGAGACTATTCTGTAAATCCTAGGTACTCTCTCACACTTTTGTTAATTCACTGACTCCTCCTGATTTTTTTCTTATCATTTATTTGTTTATTGACTATCTCTCCCCAAGGGAATGTAAAACTCCCTCAGGGCAGGAATCTTTCTCTCTAGGACTTCTTATATTCCCAGTTCCAGCTGTAGACCCTGGCCTTAAAGACTTCCTGAAGATTATGCATATTCTAAGTAGTCAACATAATTTTCTATTCTGATTTCTACCATGTAGGCTTATAAAGTTTTAAAAACACATGTCTAAAATGAAAAAGAGGTTTTTAAAAGAAGCCAGTAAGTATGTATTTTGACAAAATATACAAAATGATTTTTTGTTCTAGATTTGTCCCTAATGATCTCATAATTTCTGAGTGTAGAAAAAGTATAATAGAGCTTCTAAGAAAATTAATATGCTAACTTTATGCATCAGAGTTTTATTTATTAAGTGGACTATATATAACACAATTGAATTGAATTAATGAACGAAGCACTAAAATAAATAAATAAATGCAACAATATAAAAATTAAGCATGATTTTAAGTAGTACAATAGACCTTTTTCTCAATGCTGACATTCTTGTCAAACTAAGAATAAACTCGCTATGCAGTGTTGATGTAAATTTTAAAAGTTATACCTGAAACACCATGAAGACTAAATATCAGAGAATATGACCTCAAGAAAATAAGCAGATTCATAAATGTTTCTGAATAACATCAAATATAATAATAAATTCTTCTGAATAATGGAAGACAAACTTAATGGTAAAAATAATGAATTGATTTTTGAATCATGTGATATGAATAAATTCTATTAAAATGTAAATCAGATCAAACTCCAATATTTAATATGTTGTATAATATAAATCATCATTATACTTTATAATACTATAATTATAAACATAGCTCATGAAATACTTAGTTAAATAAGAAGTCCACTCCATTCCTACATTTGCAAGAGTGAACACCTCATGTTCTCCAACTGAGAACGAGTAGCACATAAAACCTACCTCTATACTTAAATGCCAAAACATATGCACACAACAGAGATGTGATTGGATTAAAAATAACATCAGCATTAGCATTTTGGAGAGTAATGTCTGAGTGGCTACAACATAATTATCATTTGATTGGGTAATAAATGTATATACCCATCATCTTTCCATCATTATTAGTTAAATGATGCTCATTAAAGTAACCCTAAATGACATTTCCCCTTTTCAATTACCTTTCACCTGTGTATCAATTATTCAAATGGCTCCTTCATGGCATTTAGCCAGCTCCCTCCATCCAACCTTACCATCTGTTTATTCCACCTTTCACCTGTTTATTCCAGCTATGCATTTTTACTTATGAGCACACTTATCTTGCAGTTAGATCTTCTTTTCATTTTTAAAAAACCGTCCAATAGATCAGCCCCATTTTCACTCTGGTTATTATTTCCATTTGGTTCTTATCTTCACTGTACAGCCACCTCTTCCAAAACACACCTCTCAGATATATCCTTTGTGAGAGACCTAATCTCTTCCAGGCTCTCCTTACTCGCTCCAAGTGACTCCCAGCACATTTATGTTTGCTTTATGCGGCTGTACCAGGATTCCATACACACATCTTCTCTGCCCTGATCACTGACGCTCTCTGGTTCCACATCTCCATGCTCTTTTAGTACAGAGGGATCACACCCATGTAGGAAGGCTACATTTTTCAGAAACTCTGAAGGTTAGGGAGTTTAGGAAAGTCAGAGAGTCAGGCAAGCCTTCAGTGTCAAGGTAACAAGCATGCTGGCCTATGGCCATCTATGGTCAGGAGGATTATTTGTATCAGGCCATTACTTGCTACCACAGTTCAGCAACTTACACATTCTAGTCACATAACAGCCTTTAGAAAACTAAATGCTGAGTGTAGTATACTGCACTGACTATAAATATTTTGTACCTCCTTCCATCAGCAAGTGGGATTACTCTACACCTTGAATCTGGGCTGGCCTGGTGATTTGCTTTGACCAATGGAATAGGATGGATGTGATACTATTGAAGTTGAGACTAACCCTCAAAAGGCCTTGCATCTTCCACTCCTGCTCCTTGTAATGCCACTGTCACATGAACAACCTGAGCTAGGCACCTTGAGGACCACACACCAGATGGTCAACCAGTCCAGCTGAGGCCCCAGACGTATATGTGAGCCCAGCCAACACCATGTGGAACAGGGATAAGTTGGACGAGCTAAGCCCAGCCTAGACTGGCAATCTACAGAATCAAATAGCCAAAAACTATACTGGAAACAAACTGAAAGTCTAAAATAGGGTGTTATGTACATGAATTACAGTATTGAGAAGCTATGTAGCTCTACCCTTTATTAGCTTGTGACCCTGGGCAAGCTTTAACATTTCTTCCCTTATAGAATAGAGATTATAGCCTTATAGAATTGATCTGGGGATGCAATAAAAAACTTAAATCAGTGCCTAGCTCATCATAAATATCCAAACTGTTATTACTTATACATAACTATTAAAATCATGTTATAGAAAATTTAACAGCATAGGAAAGGTCCATGATATTGTCAACTGAAAAGAATACTACAAAGTTGCATTTATAATTATAAACCTTCATTTACCAAAATGCTACTCTATATGTATATCTAGGAATAGAACAGCACTATCCTCCCAGCAGTAGTCTCTGAGTAGTAGGAACATTTTTATATTTTCATTGTTTTTCTGTAGTTTCAACATTTTCTATAACAAAAATGTACTGGCTCTATAATTGGAAAAAATATTATTTCAAAAAAATTAAATGTTATATCTATAGACCAGCTAATTAATATCTTTCAGCTCCTTAAAAGCATTATGGAAACTTTTATGAAACAGTTACAGGCTTTGCACCTCATATTACGCTATCACTGCTCTTTCTGTTTCAGCCAAGTAGAGAAAAAAGATATGGAGAGTCAGAAAGAATACCCATTAACCCGAAAAATCTAAATACTAGAGAAAAAAATTAAGGCCATCCCTTTGATTAGTTCTAAAATGCCCCAGGGTGTCACTCATCTTTTCTGCTTAGGCTACTGTCTCCCATCCTGACCCTGCTGTTCTTCACTAAACCAGCACCTATTTGTCTCAGTTTAAATGTCACTTCCTCAGAGAGGCCTTCCAGGTTTCCCTAGTCATAATTTGGCTTTCCAAACCTAACTTGGGTTCTGCTATATAATATCCAGTAATTCACCCATATTACTACATATAATTGAGCTTTCTCTTTGCCATTGCCATTCTACCTGACTGCAAAGAAAAAAAATGATTGAGACAGTTAACTTCAAGTAAAAGCCTCCCCTTTTACCTTTAACAATATAAGGAAGTGAAAAGTGAGGGTCTGTATGCATATGTAGAAAATGCTTCCTATTCATTTTACCTTCTTAAAAGCTAAAAAGTGAACAATCACCAGCTCCAAAATACATATCCTTAAAAAAACATTTAGAGAATAGTTTTAAAGTATAGTAATGTAACAGAACACCGATAAATTAATTGATAAACTTATTATAAGTTTGAGGGAAAATAGTTTATAATTTATTTCTATATTTCAGTCACCAGCATAATTTGCTGTTTTTGCTTTTCTATAGTACAGTGAAATTTCTCATAGGGAATATTTAGAAGAAATACTTGCCTGCATTTACATAATCTATTTAAGAGTACACCAAGCAAGTTTTAGGGTTACTTTTTACACCTTAATCATGCATTACTGGTATTTTGGCTACTCAAGATGAAGCTCAATATATGGAGGTTAAATCACTACTGAAAAATGATGTACATCGATATTTTTTTTTCCCAAATTGTATTAAGAATGAAACAATTATGAATTATGCCCATGTGGAGTTGTGTAATATAATGAAACAACTAATAATTATATACTCTTACTATAAAAATGTTTAGCATTTTTTTATTCACCTGGCAGTGGATGTCAAGTTCCTACTTACACAGTTCTGTATAAAGTAACAGTATTCCCCCACCCCCACCACAACCCGCCCATAATCTTGAAAATCAGGTTACTCTTAAAGTGAAAATAAGAAGACTTCTTAGCCATTGAAGAAACCCACCCAAAGACATTGTCTCTAAATGTGTATAAATACCTAGGTACACTCAGGCCCAATCAATGTCTCCAGCAAACATAATCAAATGTAAAAGATAACTAAAGTCTAAGAAATTGTCTGATAAATCAGGTTCTCAAGAAGTAAGAGAAGGAAGATCATTTATGTGTGGATTCTGGAAAGAGGAGTCCAAAGCATACAATCTCTGAGCTCCATGAAATAAATGATCTTTTACTGTGTTTATGTCAGTTACCCGTCAGTACCAAAATGAGTGAGCAGTAAACCTACAGATGTTTAGTGGTGTCATAACAAAGTATCTCAAGGAGACTCCATTTAGCATCCACTGCTCACTGGAATGCTGAGAGTGGACGAGGAAATGTAGCAGCCAAAGAAAATGTATGCACAAACTACTCAGGTTGGAGAGGAAAGGAGTTTCAATATCACAAAACCAGGCACAATATATTTTAGAGCACATGCTGAAGAAAAGCAAAAGCTATAGAAAATAAAGCCTGCAATTCAACAAATAGGTAAGCACAATATAGGACCAAGCTACAAACAGGAGGACTCTGGGCCAAATCCCATCTGCAGAAGTATTTGGCTTGTACATAGTTTGAGAATAATAATAATAATAATAATAATAATGATGATGATGGCAAATTAGTTGAAAAATATTTAAATTTTAAAAATTTCACATGAAAACTTGCATTTCCTGCTTTACCTGATAAACTGGACAAAGTGGCATCACTAGGTTAACATTCCTGCCTTGCAACAATTATCTGGACCAGAGCAGCGGCTGCTCCTTCAGAAAGAACTTGGCTCTCCAGGTCACTGCTGTGGCTTCCTGCTTCATTCCCACCAGACTGGCCTCTGTAGGCACTTGGGTTTCCAATCTCTGGAACAGAAAGGACCATGAGGTAAGGCTTGAAAGACTCACTTTAGCCCTTGACAAGAGGTATAACTTTTTTTTTCAATGACCACTTAACCTTCACGTCACAGTTTCTTCACAAGGATAAGGATGAACTAGTGGATCATCAGGCATTACTCTATGTGCTGGAGCACCAGCAAGCCAGCTAGAACCACAAGCACACTTTAACTTTCTTAATGAAACCAAGTTGACCCTGAGACAGTGATGATTCTTCAATAGGAGGAAGTAGAGGGGACAGAAAACTTGTCCAACTTCAATGCTCTATTTTTCCTTCTTTCTTAGCACCATCATCAGCAAAACCACATTATCATTAACTTAGGAACTCATCTTGGGATCAAAGAATTAAGGAACCAAATTGTACATCACCATTATTAAGAGTTAGAAAATGTCACTGTTTTATTTTCTGACTTTTAAAATTATTTTCTTTTAGCAAATAAAAAATACTTTTGTAAGGGCTTTCAAAAGTGTGCTTGAGACCTTGCTACCCCTTAGTCTATTATCTCTGGTCAGCCATCAGGGACACACTGACAAGCTCCTCCTCAGTCTGGGTAAAATAATCCTTGCGACAGTCTAACTCAGCGGTTCTCAACCTGTGGGTCGTGACCCCTTTGCGGTCGAACGACCCTTTCACAGGAGTCGCCTAAGACCATCCTGCATATCATATATTTACATTATGATTCATAACAGTAGCAACATTACAGTTATGAAGTAGCAACGAAAATAATTTTATGGTTGGGTCACAACATGAGGAACTGTATTTAAAGGGCCAGAAGGTTGACAACCACTGGTCTAACTTACCTTGTTCTGTTTCTAAGGTCATTGAACAACCTTTTGAATATTTGTTGGATTTCCTAGAGGCTTTGATATCATTAAGTTAGTGACTTGGATACCACGAATATGTATTTCACTCAGTGAAAACAAACAAATAGGTCATCTGGCTTGTAAATTAATTTCTTGTAAATATCGATGGTATAGACGGTCTGTGTCAGATCCTAGAGCCCCATCACCCTTGAGACCAAAGGCAAAAACAATTCTTTAAATTGGAAGAGTAAGTACCACATCCTGGACCATAGTTACTTCACAGGGTGCTCCTCTACTTTTGAGGTCTTTCCTGATAACCAGCCCACTTTCTCTTTTTTATTTTAGGCCAAAGGAGGACATGGGAATGTGGAGGACGTGGTGTAACAGCATGCCTGAGCATTGAGATTCTTCATAAGAGACAAAGGAGCAAGTAAGGGATATGGGACCACGGTTAAGTAATTATGTTTCTATAATCCTGATATACTAAAGGCACTTCAGGCATTCTATTTAATGTTTTAAGTATTTATTGGGCAACTACATGTGAGGCACTGAATGGATAGTAGAGACCCAAACATAAAGAGAACACAGTCCCATCTTAATGCCTGGGAGGTGGAGGTGCAGGGTGGGCAGTCAGGTGAACAGGTAATTACAACATTAAATGATACTGGCTATGACAGGGGCTAAGTATGGAGAGCACAAAAAAGAGCTAGTCTGGATTTTGGGAATCAGGTTAGGGGGTCAGTATACATGTACGGATGCACAGAGATTAGAAAGGCAAAGAAAGGTGGGTAAGAGACCTGAAACTACCTAATCCATGCAGATGGTCTTAACTCCAAAACATTAATGTTGAAGGCTTTACATTCTGTCTGGTAATAACAACTCCAATATTGTACTCATTTTTAGCTGGTAAGCAAGCATAAAGGTCTCATTTTTGTCAGAACTTTTAACCTTGGGATGTGATAAGTCATGAAGCATTAATGAATATTTTCCACAGAAAGATCTGGATGCCGGCCTAATGCCTGAAATAGAATGATGGCCTGACATCTGGATAATCAAATATTTTTTTCTAGAACATTATAAAAAAAACAATGATTCATTCCAATAACAAATATTAGAAGTAAATGCATTGGAAGCAGAAGCTAAAAGGAGCAAGATATGGATGAGGAGTCTTAGCCTCTAGAGTAGTTCATAACTGTTTGGAGGTACGTCCTTTAATAAAAGAAGTCCATACGTGATGAAAATAAGATGATTATTGCACTAAAGTTATTTTAGCCAAGTATGTGAATAATATTAGCTGACATTTATCTTACCATCTTTTGGAAACTGTGCTGAACACTATACAGTCATTAACTCATTTAATCCCTGTTGCAACTGTAGAAGTGCTATTATTTTTTTCTTTTCTAGAGTTAAGGAAACTGAGGTGAGAGAAATTAAGTAGACTGACCTTCTCTTTCCCTCTCTGATAATTTACATAGACCTTTTCTGCTTTATTATTTCCCCTTAGTATGTATCACTAACATATTACATATTTTACTGTTTGTTACTGCCTGTCTCTTCTGACAAAAATGTAAACTCTGTGAGTACATGGATTTATTAGTCATCATAACAGACAAAAATCTACTATTTTTTGTTTTGTATCACAAGTTTCTATTTCTAATAACACAAAGTACAGAGCCTTACACATGTTGCAGCCAAAAATATCTGAGTGAATTTAGGGAACACTTAGTGAGCAAGCATGCACTGAGCCCTGGCCATGCTCGGCACTGCACACATCACCATGGGGTTGGGAAGTACAAATACGTCAGTGTTCTCAAAGACCTTAACATTTAGGGGCAGAAATAGGTAGAAGCACGAGGAATACCTAGGGTACAGAATAAGAAGTTCGGACATTTCCTTACTTCCATTCTTCAATTGTCTAATGGTGTGTACAAATGTTCACTCACCACTCCTCCTAAGATACCCTAGTTAGTTAGGAACCTGTTGCGTTAAACTTTCTTGGAAATGCTAGAACCACTCACACCTCTATGCTTATACACATGTTGTTTCCTGGGCTTCAAAAGAATTCCTCCCACTTTCTTAATGCAACTTACCGGTCCTTAACTAAACCCCAGGGCCAGCTCCTCCGTGAAGCCCCCTCTAGCCCCCTGCTTAGAGTTGCTTGTTCATTCCTCTCATTCTACAGTGCTGTTTACATAAAGGTAACAGCACCTACCACACACATTCCTTGTTTCATACATCTTTGTGGTTGCCAAACACATTTACAGGTTCATGGTATGCAGAGTGCTTTGAGTTAAATTATTTGTTTTTCTCACCTTTCAAAATATTAAAGAACGTTTTTACTCCCCTGAAACATAGCCATAAACAGAAAAGCTCTTGTTAGTACTATATTAAAACCACCCAGTGATACAATGACTAATTGCAGGTGTGCATTCAACCAAAATTAAATAGAGGCCGAATAGGATCACATTTCTTATTTTATTTTCAGAACAATTTTTAGATCCAGAGATGGTATCCAGTGCCTACAAGAGTGCCTAGCACCCAGAAAATTTCCTGTTGCATAAATAAATAAATGATGTATACAAACCATGTCATTAAATGCTAAATGGAATGACATAAACTAAATGTACTATAGGAACTCAGAGATGAGGTAACAAATAATAGAGAGAACAGTGAACTACAGTTTTGGCAACTACAGTTTTCTAGCTGTATAACTTTGAGCAAGACAGTTAAACTGACCTTTAATTTTTCAATTTGTAAAACTAATGGATTGGGCCAGATCAGTGGTTTTGATATTATTTACTAGGTGTATCAGTTAATAATGCTTATTTTGTAATCAAAGAAAATATGATAATTTCAAGAGAAACATCAAAAGTGCTTTATTCAAAGTAATGTCCATCGCTAGCTACTAGTAATTGTAGATCTCTTGTCTAATAAACTCTAAATAGAATCTCCATTATATACAACAGAAAAAGATTTGTTAGTAATAACTCATTTTATAAGACCAAATTATTATTCTACTTATCAAAATCCATCAATAAAAACAACAAGCGATTGACTAATAAAAATATGAAATCAAGGGATAGGGGTAATAGCTGCAATTTTAAATCATCATCAACATATTTCTGTACTTTGTTTCGGCTTTATAATCTTGAGACAATTCTCAATACTAGAAAAGCAATTGAAAATGGCAACTTCTAAAAATAGCTAATTTGGTTTGGGCAATATTAAGGTTTTTGCTATTAAAATAGTCCAGAAGCTTGAAGGAAGAATAAAAAAAAATCTTGTTTCCATATTGAGTGATTATATCTAATTATTATTCATGTTTCTGGTCATGAATGTAAAATTTTATTTTATATGGGCAAGAGCTAACCAAAACTTAAATTAAGCAAGAAAACTTTTTCTAATATAAATTTATCACATGAACTTGCCATTGCAAGACTGGGAAGGAGGGATACGGGTATGTGCAGGATGCTGCTCCTGCATCTTGTTTGTGTTTATTCATCAGAGCACACACATGCTGCAGCCGGGCTCTGGCTTGTGTAATTTGATTTGGATATATAATAATGGACTCAAGTTTTTGTTTTGGTGTTGTTGTTAATCTTCAGCTGTGGACATTTTTCCACTGATTTTTAGAGAGAGTGGAAGGGAGGGGGAGAGACAGAGAGACAGACACACATCGATTGGTTGCCTCCCACAGGAGCCCCAACCAGGGCCAGGGATCGAGCCTGCAAGTGAGGTATGTGCCCTTGACCAGAACTGAACCCAGAACCCCTCAATCTGCAGGATGACGCTCTATCTACTGTGCCAAACTGGCTAGAACAATGGACTCAAGTTTTTTAAAAGCCCAGCTAAAAACATAAATATAAAAATGCATACTCATAAAAAGTTCAAATATCTCCAGAAAAATCAGTAGCAAAGGTTTAGTCAGTAGTCCACAAAAATACAAACTAGCAGTGAAGTTTATTTTTGTTTCATGGCATCTATTTATATATAAAAAGCCTGTGGCTGTAATGCCATAACGACCAAACAACTGGTCACCAGGAGGTGCATTGATAGGTCTCGCCGACACGGTGGGTCTTGGGTCCTGCCTCATGCAGCGGGTCTGGGGTCCTGCCTCACGCAGCGGGTCTGGGGTCTTGCGTGATTTCGGCTCATGTGGTGTGGCC